AAAACGCGGGAGCTGGAAATAGATGAGCGCGAGAGGGCGATGATGGGAACATCGTAAAAGAATAATTTAACACTTAAAAACAACTAAAAGCTATTATTGTTTGTAATATTATCATGTAACGGTTTGAGCAACAGTTTCAAATATTTTAAAACAGATACAACAACATCAAAAGCTCCAGTGACACCAACAGTGACTCCAGAAACTCAGTTAGGTAGGTATCTTCCTTGTTCAAGGATTACTACCTCTTCAACGGGCTTTCCCAAGGCTCAGTGGGGAGAAGCGAGAAAAAACACGCGGGAGCTGGAAATAGATGAGCGCGAGAGGGGGATGATGAGAACATCGTAAAAGAATAATTTAACACTTTAAAACAACTAAAAGCTATTATTGTTTGTAATATTATCATGTAACGGTTTGAGCAACAGTTTCAAATATTTTAAAACAGATACATCAACATCAAAAGCTCCAGTGACACCAACAGTGACTCCAGAAACTCAGTTAGGTAGGTATCTTCCTTGTTCAAGGATTACTACCTCTTCAACGGGCTTTCCCAAGGCTCAGTGGGGAGCAGCGAGAAACAACAAGCGAGAGCTGGAAACAAGTGAGCGCGAGAGGGGGATGACGGGAACGGTAAACACGAAAACAAGGTTGGCTTGTCCGCATCCCTACAATTTGATGATGGGATTCCCTAAAAAGAATAGAGAAAATTATTCGAGAGAGTGCTTTTGATAAAAGAAAAATTAAAAAATGTAAAAAATATAGAAAGCCGGGTTAAAATTTAGCAAGTGTTCGAACAACTAGGCCCAGTTCGATTTTGAAAAATTTTGTTAGCAGGTGCTGAAAGTGCATATTAAAATTTGGTAACCTGTGGATTTTCAGCCGTACATCTCAAAAGTAGCGATTGCAACGGCCGCCCGCGAGAATTAACAGTATTTGTAGGGGAAAAACAACTTTTGCCACGCCAGTTTATACACGTTTACCCCGTTTAACCATGTGTATACCAGTTATCTACGTTTTACCCCGTCTAGCCATGCTTTACCCCGTTTTCCGTCTTTACACCAGTTTATCCACGCTTTTCCCGTTTGCCAAACCCTACTTTATCTGCATTTCACCCCGTTCACTCATGTTTTACCCCAGTTTATCCACTTTTATCCCGCTCACGCATGTGTTACCCCGTTTCAGATACCCATGTTTGCCCCAGTTTATTCACGTTTTAATTTGTTTACCTAGTATGTTGACCCCAGTTTATCCCCGTTCTTGCCCGTTTACCCATGTTTACCAGAGGTGGATCCCGGGGGAAGGTTGAGGGGGTTGCAAGTCCCCCTTTGGGAATTTTTCAAACTTGCCTGGCTATCCATGTTTATCCCTCTTTCATACAAAAAATAATATTATAAGTTATAAAGTAAGTTCCAGTCCAATCGATTATTACAAAAAGACTGTAGCTATTCCTCTTCTTGACTCCTTAATCATCCAAATGCAAGATCGATTTTCTGACGAAGATCGCCGCGCCCGCCATCTGCTTTGTCTCGTGCCATCTATAATAGTAAATAAGGCACTGCAGCTGGATGATGAAGTAGAAGGCATGCTGTTCTGTAAGAAAGACATTCCATTTATCAAATCCCTTGGAATGGTCATTGCCTGCACCCTACCTATCACAAGCGCAGAAGCTGAGCGATCGTTTTCACTGATGAAATGAATTAAGACCTGGTCTAGGTCAACATTGCTTGAATCGTGTTTCTCTGATCTCGCAGTGATCGCCGTGTACTACTCCGAGAGATTCGAGGTAGATGAGATATGCCAAGCCTTTGTAAAGGCTCATCCAAGAAGGCTCTTTCAAGCTAGCGTTAGCCCGCTTTGATTAAATAGGCAGGTGAAAAGAAGACAAACAACTATCGTTGTTGCACTGTACTCTTAGTCCTTAATAAGAGTGCCTCCAATTTATTCCTCTGAAATCAAAATGAAGAAAATCTACGTATTCAAACATAACCCTAACCCTAACGCTCCCTCCTCCCACATTCCTTTGGCCCTGGGACGTTTGCTATGAACTCTCATAGTTACAACCCCCTCTTAAAAAAATCCTGCATCCGCCTTTGTTAACTCCTTTTTATCCACATCTTACCCCGTTTACCAATGATACGCCAGTTTATCCACGTTTAACCCTGTTTACCCATGTTTATCCCAATTTATCCACGTTTCATCCCGTTTACTCGCGTTTTGCCCAAAGTCTTCGTTTCAATGCAAGTATATAAAAGTTTGAGTAGCTGTCGCCTCGGCTAGTGTTCTTGAATCAACACCATGCCTAAAGTACGCGCATTTTATAATGCAAGCACTTAAACGTGCCCTTGTGTTTGCATCACTATTTTTTGAAGCCGAGAGAAATCTAGAAACCCCCGATAGAGCCAATTTTGATTACGGCATTTTGCAAAAACGGAATTAAAAGCCACCCTGCACTGCGAGGAGAGCCTCAGTCCTTGTTTCTTTTCCTTGATCATAGAGAAGCAGGAAAACAGGATCCAACTGAATCGCGTTAATCCTTTGAACCTAAACTTCTAAACAAGTCAGTCATGTTTTCACTCGTCAAACTGGTTTTTCGATTGCAAGAGTCTGTTTATTTATAAACAGATGATCATAACTGGACCCGCTGTACCGTTAGGAACACGGCTATTAAACCTGGGTTCGAAACTGTTTCCTAGCAACATACACCGCATGCTCAACAAAAATCTCACTCGATTCTGCATAGTCTTCTTAAATACGCCGAAACTGAGCAGGCAAAAGAAAGTTTCTGCTGGCTGAGTTGGGAAAGCCCTTTAAGCCTGTTGTTAACAATCTTCTGCGAAACACGAGGATGTATGGCGTTCTTCGGTTTCGTGGAAAGGCACCTGCACCCTGATCAACGAACACGCTGCTATTCTTTATATTATCATTCATATGCTTCCATATAGGCGAATCTTTCTTTACATTTTTTGCCTCATTTCATTATCTGGTGAAGCTAGTAAAGTAAAACCTATGAATATTAAAAGAGCATAACAATTTCAGTTATCTCTGAAAATTTGAGCCCGATGTACCAAATGGTTTCGGAGAAATTCTTTTTTAAGAACTCGAAATTATACGAAGAATGCATGGCTCATTAACTTTTTTGCCACCCAGCAATTTCGAAATTTTCGATGGCTAGTATTTCCCTCAATATTGCTTAAAAAGAGCTGAAAATTGCTCAAAATGCTTAAGTTGATCAGCTTTTTCAACTTTTTAAATTTAGTTCCTGTATACGGCCACGGCTTCTATGAGTTAAGTCGTATGCTAATTAGGCAAAATGTAAACTATGACGTCAACAAAGATTCACCTATGTGCATATCATAAAAGCAAATTATCAAATTCTTAAACCACTTCAATTAGTAATTTTTTAATACTGTCTTTTCAAATCTCTTCGCTGCTAGATGTTGACAAAAACTTAACAACTGTGCCATAACATAAGAAACTGGCATAAAAAAGTCTAAAAAGTCTAGGAGTCACAAGTCAGCTTCTACGTTCGCAAGCTTTAGATCAAGTTTCGCGGTTTAGAACGAAGACTACGATGTACCGTAGAAAACTCTACTTCTCCTTAAGTTGCAATCATTAGCTGGTTGAGAATATGCTTTTGTTTGAGTCAAAAGGCCACATAGTTTTCAGTCCGGCAAAGAAGCTTAAATCTGCGGTGTTGGCAAAGTGGCGCTGATCATTTGGTATACCAGATTTTATGTGTGCCATGGTTAAGCCTTTATTCATCAAAAGTTAAAAATCCATATTTTTTGTAACAAGTAAGTGTAAGAAATTTTAAAAAGGTAAAAGAAAGAATTTAAAAATCCCCTGTTTTTTTTTATAATTTCTTTTATCCCTGTAATAATTTACAATTAATTTTGCTTTACTCTCTTAATGTCTATCGTTAAAGTGTTTTTTTTTTTGTAGTATTGTAAATGTAATTATTTATTGTGATTATCAATAAATGCATTTAAAAAAAATAAAAATAAATACATCACGATCACTTAAAAAAAAAGAATTAAAAATCTAGTATATTACATAGCTAATTCATATTTAAAAACTAAACGATTAGTAAACGAGTTTTTAAAACGCATAGTGTTAATCTTAGGTTTAAAACAAGTTTCTTTCCTAAGATTGTAACGGGACGGTTTATCATAATAAAAGTGGATGTCCTTTAGCATAAGAAACTTTTCTGAAAATTTTACGGTCTTGCCTATCTAAGAAATCATAAACACTTACAGGTTTAGACGTATATTTCCTTTTAAAACAGCGGTCGAAGAAACATTGTACTGGCGTAAGATCGGACTCGGACGCGGCGTAGACAGATGATGCGTAACTAATATTAGGTAGAACTATTGTATTAAAGAGAAGGTCTATTTCTGACTGATTGTAGCCCTCTTTGCGCAGCATTATAAGCATACGAGGGGATTTGTTAGCTTTAATAAGTTTGTTCTTCACGACGGTACAATGAAAATTTGCTGTCACATTGAAAGGTGACGCCCAAAATCTCAACTTCTTTACAACTTGGTATCATCCCAATAGGTGAATAGATATCGCGGTTGCCTCTCGTTTTGATCGTAAACTCTTTACATTTGCTTGGGTTGCAAGACATTACATTTGTATTCGTCCCATCTAAAAACTGTGACGCTAACTGATCGGAGCTAGTCTCTACCTCCTTCCATACAGGAGTAATAATTGTCGAATCATCAACATACTTAAATAGCGCGTCATGACTACCTAAAGCGATGTTAAGATCATTGAAAAAGATGTTAAAAAGGTAAGGACCGCTGTTGATTTAAGTTAATGTCGCATATAAATTCCGCCAGTGATTAGTTCATTAAGCAGGAATGTAATTGGACGATTTCTATGACCTTTGTTGGGTGAGGACATCTTGATCCTTTTGCATTATAGATCCGATGTGTAAGATTAGAAATATATGATTCTCAAAACCCCACTTTGTCTTAAATTTGTAGTTTGCTTTGTTTTATCAAGTTCCAGAACCTGTTGCCTTGTTTCCTCTAAACTCCACTTTTGGTACCAAGGAAATCAAAAGCAGAGTAGCTGCAGGGGACGCCAGTGGAGTTACTTTAGCTCCCGGCCCCGACGGGGTACCTGGTGGCTCGTACGAATTTTCTGGATCTTCAAACAGCTTTATCGAGTTTTCTAACAGCGAAGGGGGACCACTTGACGTTCGTTACTCCATGACAATGCTTTGTTGGGTGTATTACAACAGCAAAGACGGACCTCTTTTCAACTACAGGCCCAGTAAACCCTGGGCGGTACACCTATGGGCTTTCACGGGTCAACTGTATGTGGAATTCAGAGATCGTAATTACTTATACACTAACATCCTTATGCACACCGGTCTAGCGGGTGGATGGAAGTTTGTTGGCGCTACATACGACCACAGTACCGGTGATGCAAAACTATGGGTCAATGGAGCCGTGGTTCAGACTCTGAACATTGGAGCAGGACTGGACCTAGCCACTCAGGACAGCATAAGGATGGGAGCAATTAAAAATTATGATTGGTGGTCCTTCAAAGGAAGGATTGCTCAGATGCAGGTATACGACAAGGCCTTAACTCAGGAACAAATACAAACGATACAACAACAAACTGAAGCTTTCGGTGAGTATGCGACCAAACAAAAATGCATGTCCAGTAGAAGCATACTAGCTCGTTTCGGGTACCAAGTTGGTTATTTTGTGATGTTCGGTTTTTATGTCAAAGTTTCAGCGGAAGATCAGTGAATCCCAAGGGTTTTTTCTCCGCAGTGACACCTTCTTGGCTGTCAGGTTGTAATGTTGAGAGAGAATTTGAAGAACAATTGTACGCTGGATATACTCTGGCATTCTCGAAAGATAAGTCAAAAATGGTTAATTGTCATCTTTTCTGTCGTTTCGCATTTTACTAAAAATTTGAATTATTGAAGATAGTATCAGTAGAGACTAAAAATTTGTCAGGTTTAGATCTAAGATATGTTTACAAACTACGCTTTATTTCGGTGCTTTTGAACAGGAGCCATAGTCGATTTCTACTGACAAGAAAATCATTGCCGGGAAAAATAACAGCATGATACATCAATATAATATAGATTTAGCCAGGGCTAAAAGCGAAACCCCCACAAATCAGTTAACTTTAGAGCACATTCATTTGACTTTTGAGGGAAAGGCTAAGTGATTTTAGAGAAAACTAATTTGCAAACCGTCCCAGCTAAGAGTGAACTTAATCTTACATCGAGTTGATAGCCCTATATGTACTCCCAAAAAATAGCATAGCCATAATGGCTCTTGATCACAGTAGATAAGGGCTGGAAAACAAATTAAATTCTTGGAAAACAAAATCTTGCCAACAAGTCTGGGGACGTGTAAACCAACCTTTTATACTTTTTATACATCACATCTGGGGTGAAACAGTACCATGAGGCACTGTTTTTATCATACAGACCTCGGACAGAATGCAGTATTTCACAATTTTGCATTACAAATTGCACTCATTTAATATTTAGGACGATCGAAGCACGAGTGGGCTTTTAGCGAAACCGTTGAAAAAAATGCCAAAATCAGCTATACGGCTAGCCGGCGGGTTCTCAGTTTTGAAAAGCGCCAAATGTTGACTGTTTAAATTAAGATTAAAAGAGTTATACGCTTCAACATATTAAATAATTTATTATGTTTATTTTTTATCTAATGGTTTTAAAACGATGTGTGATCTTCAAAAGCGTTTGATACGCGTGGCATTTTGACTACTCCTGCAAGCGATGTTCCTGGGCGACTGAAAACAAACAGCACAGCGATTAAAATTGCAAAGAGACTACTAACAATCAATAATAAAAGGAAAATAATTCGGTGACCATATACAGAGACAACAATTTTCATTCACGAAGACAAGTATTAAAGTGTCTCTGAAAATCCTTGTTTATTGTTATGTTTTAAGCCGGCTTCCTGGTGGTTGCTTTTTTCAAAGATGAACTCGAGGCAAGAAAATCGCTCAAAGCTTTCTTTTACAGCCAGAATTAAAACTAAATATTTTTGCAACGTTTTCTTTCTATTTGCGGTGAGAAAATGTCTGAAGGCTTTTTAAAGTTCTATAAGCTTATGATCAAACCTGATACTCGGTCAGATCATTGTCTCAAATCTTACAAACGTGCATAAACTAAATAGCCCCATAAACTACACGTGACTTCATTGAATTAGATATAAAAAACAAACATGAAATAAAATAATTACTCAGGGTTACCATTCTAGATGCACTGAAAACTACCAAGTAAGATCAAAATCGCTTCAGACTTTTCAACCCTCTTACGCATCAAGCAAGGTGAAAAACGAAAACGATGCCATCCGAAATCGGATTTCCGACTTTGACAAGCGACGTATTTCTCAACCAAAAACCCAATAAACAAACTAGCCATGAATAACAGAAGACTCTTGATAGCAGCTGAATTTCATTTTGTACAATGTTCAGTGGAAAAAGACAGTTAAAAACATCACAAGTTGACACAAAACTCTGTCAGCTTCAGCTGCCAAAGTTAACAAGTTTCAAGATGCTGCATAAATTTTTCTTTGACCAATCAGAGCATAAAAATTGGACGTAGAGCGTGACCAACGCGTGACCTTGGTGAGAAAAGTCAAAAGCAACTGGAATGTCTTCCTTGCCTGTAAAAACTGGCTGAATCTTAGCTTCCGAGGTCAGTTTGAAATCAAATTTTTAGTTGTGCGGCACATATAAAACACAACATATTTCATATGAATAAAAAAAAAGCTTGAGCTTGCAGTCATTTGAAAACTAGTAACTCGTCAGCGGATAACTTTAAAAAATACTCGACCTTGATGGGTCGACACCTGATCCACCGATACGGTCAGGTGATATTGGTCAGCAGATACCCTGTTTTGACAGCTGTCAATTGATCACAACATTGATGTGCAATATGTGTGCAATATCAGTCTTCCTGTGCACTTAAACTAGAAAGAAAGTGTGGGATTGAACATTGGTTTCCCTGTGGTGCGGACGGACGGGCAGCGGGCGGGCGGTGTACGGTCACGTGATTACCAAATTTTCTGGGATGGGTAGATTTACTTACCCATGGTGCTCCGTTGTGCGCTTCGCGCGCCAGAGCTCCGCTATAAAAATTGAAATAACTTGAAACAATTTAGTTCTTAGAATTTCGTGACGGTTTCTTATCAACTGTTCTAAAATTCGTACGGTGAAAGGTTAATTGTGAAAATTACTGTCAGCCTGCTGCCCGGCTGTCTTGAACTCTGAAATGGGAAATCAATCGTATTTTAATTATTCAAACATCCTAGTATCCTACGTTCTGTGTGACAGGTATTGACTGCTTGTTTATAGCACTCAGTTTTCTTAACAATTATTCCACGAGTGTTCGTTGGATATGAGATGGTAGTAGCCAACGAAGCGCTACGCACTTCGTTGGCTGTAATCATCTCATATCCAACGAGCGCGGGTGGAATAACTTTTTTTTTAATTATTGAAAACGCCCACAAGATTTGGAGAATTCCTCCCGGCTTTATTTGTAAAAAACAAGCGATTTTCAGCTTGTTTTTGTTTTTGAGCAGAAGCGTACAGTTACCATAACTAGAGAGCATGGTATAATGGCCCATATACCATGATGCTAAGCCAATCACAGTACTAGAATTGCATTATCCATTGATTCAGTTGTTTTATAAATAGTAATATCTCTAGCATACTATCTTTTTAGCTTCCTTAATAGTTAACACTTGCACCTCTGTCTAAGACTGTTAAACAGTTCATTAATGTATAACGACCTGAATGACTAGAAAAAGAGTAATCGAGATCCTTCTATCTACAGTTGCGTTATCATGCGCTTACTTAAAGAACGGCGACCCTTCAGCAAAGAGTGGATATTACGACATTGATCCAGATGGCGAAGGAGATCTGGCTCCATTCTCAGTGTACTGTGACATGACTTCCAAGAATGGAGTTGGCGTGACAGTCATTAGTCACGACAGCGAGAAAGAGACGTGGGTGAATAGTTGTGATTGGGTTGGCTGCTACTCACGTGACATTCATTACACTGGAGCGAGCCTATCTCAGTTGGCCAATCTCACCAAAATTTCCTCACACTGTGAGCAGTTTATCAAGTACAGATGTCGAAATGCAAAGCTACTCAGAGATGGAACAGGATGGTGGGTGTCACGTGATTCCACTAAGATGACGTACTGGGGTGGAGCATTACCTGGCAGTGGTAATTGCGCATGCGGGATGGACAACACATGTGCAGACTCTAGGTTTGGCTGTAACTGTGATGCGAATGACAATGTGTGGCGTGAAGACAGCGGTCTGTTGACTGACAAGACAAAGCTTCCGTTAATACAGCTCAGGTTTGGAGATACTGGTGACAGTGGCGAGAGAGGGTACCACAAGCTAGGGAAACTGAAGTGCTATGGCACAGCATAAGCGACTGGCTTTCACACAGAAAAAGTTGTTTTTGTTATTATAACTTATTGCTATTGTTGTGAAATCAATAACGTATGGTTTACTGCACATAGGTTGATGAGATTTTATTTATAATGAATTTAACAAAAAAGGAAATCATTAGCAAAATAGCAAAAAACAACACTGATTTTGCATAGGGTAGACTAGGAGGGTGAAAAGCTTCAACTTATCGTATTTCTTTACTTATTTCGTTATAATTTATACTTTAACTTTGGTTAAATTTGTAGTGGAAAAAATCAGTCAGCAATTTCGATAAAGAAAATGATTTTAAACTAAAAGTTTTTTTTAAAATGCGTGTTTAACTTAGGTTTAAATGGGGCAAAGACTTCCATGTATGTAGTTTTGAGTAGCGCTGTAAACGAGTTCAGTACCTTTTAGCTGAATAGTTAAGAATTTGTTCATGCTTAGCGTGCGTATATCGAGTTATGGATGCACGCGGGAAGTTTGGAGAGCACGAAAGATGCGTAAGAGTTGCACCCGGCGATAGCCGAGTGCAACTCTAGCTTCTTGAGTGCTCTTTAAACTTTCCAAGTTGATCCATAGCTAGATATACGCACGCTGAGCATGAACAACACCGACCAATTTGTGATCTTTTTTCACTTAAATGTCAGTCTTTACAGCACACTTTTCAACGAATCATCCAGACTCTATTATTTGCGAAACATCTTCACCGCTTTTGCTGTTCTTTTGAGTGGCTAGAACGAAGCTAAATTCCCCCCAAAAAGTCTAGAAAGTTCTTTATCATTGCCGTCGATTTTTGGGGAGACAAAAAACACAGCTGAACACGTCATCGTGAACAAAATCTTTATTTACGAACGGGCGTGCGTAAATAAATATTTTGTTCATAGCGGCTCAATATGACTTAATATATAGGGTAAGCATGCGCGCTATGTTATCATACTTATTGCTTTTTAACTTAGCATTAGATATCTTGAGATATTAGAATAAACTTCATTTTCATGATGAAGCACCAATTGTTCAGTTGCTACGAGTTGCGAATTGTAATGTCATTATTGCAAATCATAATAAATAAAAATGATTGTTTGAGAATGGACAAGAAAAATTACTTTGTGTCAGGTTTTACTTAGTTCGGTTCAATTCAAGAGAAGCTTTTCTCTCCTTGCGCACTAGTCATCAGTAG